CCCTTCCTTATGATGATGCTTCTTGCAGCCAAGCACCTCATGACACGTTGAATTTAATGCTTCTTCACTTCCCTTCCAGTCATCCTCCATAGTACTTTCTTCTTATTTCAGTGGATCCTGTAAGGCTTGCAACCTGTTGTTGGAAGTCATCTTGAATTCATTGAGTTTGTTAGTTTCTCGTTGGAAGGCTGTGATGAACCTTTGTAATGCTGTTTGTCCAGTGTTTCTCTGGCTGTAGTTTCATCTTGGTCACCACCAGGTGATGATCTGAAGCTGGTGGGTTTATAACATTGGATATCATTCAACGTGATTCCCTACATCTTTGTTTTGAAGGATGCTTTGATGACCCTGGATCTATAAAATTCCCATCAATCAATCCGCGATATTGAGCAACCGTCCATCAATGTCCTCAGTGAGTATATTGATTGAAGTTAGAAATTAACACCGTTGGATGCCGACTCAGTAGTCTAGAGGTTAAGCATATCCTCATTAATTACATCATGTAAAAAAAATTATTCGTAAACAGATATACAGGATTAATTTTCTTGAGGAAAAATATACTAAGCAAAGTAAATTTGTTTTCGGTCAGACAGATAATTTCATCCAAGTTAGTAATAGAATATTCCGCCCAGATTTTTAAAAAAGCACAAAACATTCATGAGAAAATAAATAATTATGGAAATACTATAGTATACTATACTGAGCATTTATAAATGCAGAGTTATAGTGTACAATCTTATGAATGAATAAGTGAACAATATGTGTATTCGAAAACTATTCACAATGATCGATCTATAGGTGATATAAGTATCAGACAAAGCTCATCAACGAACTGAGTTAGAAGAATAGATGTATTTATAAGCTTACTACGGCTTTCAATAAATCATTTTGACTATTTTGTTGAAACACAACAACACTTGGGTAGGCAATCACAAGCAATCTTATGAAGGCAGTTTTCAACGAAAAGGCTCCTGACATTAACAGATTAGGGGGAATATCATCACGGACATTGAAATACCTGAATAAATAATTTCCAAATTTTTTATCCAACTTAAGATCAGGGAAAGTCTTCATTTATCTTGGAATTATCCATTGATCACTAGACAACTTTATAATAGCATTTTTTTGGAATTTTATTTATTTTACTCAACAAATGAGTTATTGATGTTTACATCTTTGAAAGTCGTTTACCTACTCACCGTTCTATAATCTTTCTGCAAAATTCCTGTCATTACTAAAGTACATATAAAATTACGTCACAATACAATATGTCAAATATATAAGAATTTACTTTGAAAACTGAACACGATTATCCTTTAATTACTAAATAAAAAATCAGTAAATGTTTAAAATACTTATTTGAGAATTCGCTTGTAAATAAACAAAACTATGAAAGTAAAGTTAGTTAGCTGACCCATGTGGAATTCAAATATGACTACGCATAAAAATAGTAATCCATTACATGAGTACATGAAAATTTTCATCCGTGATAAAATGTGAAGATTAGTTAGAACCTCTATTTCAGATCAATAACAAAGGATTAGACTAAAAAAGATAAAATTTATCATACAAGACAGGTGATTAAATTCACTACTGAAGTCCTGAACTTGATGAGCGACATTATAATTACGTTTAGATTTGAATGAGGGAACACTATTAAGGGCAAAATATAATAAGACCATATTATTAACCGAAAACAAATGAACTGATGTAAGATATAGATTCAGCTAACAAATGACTAGTCACGAATTAAAGTCAAGTGAAAACACCATCATTTTTACAGCTAAACATTCGCTTAGAGTTAATTCACTTCACTGATGAATGAAAAATGAAATTTTTTAAATATCTGTAAATCTTTCTGAAGAAGCTTGAAATGAACTCATGAACGAAAAGTTGATTTTTTTCAAGTTGAATTGCTTAAAATTTTACTAGTACAATCATAAAATGTGTTTCCTTAAATATGAACAAAATTTCTTATAAAAATGTGATCTTGTACCGAAATAATCTTCATAAAGATCATTCGTTCAAGAATGTCCATCTACATTAGTATCATCAATAATATAAATTTTCTGCATTACAACAAAACTGAAGAAGATTCAAAACAGTTTCAGTTAACCTGATAAACAGATTTATATTTTAAAACTGTTTATTCTCAGAGTCGACAAACTTGATTAGACAATATATTATCTGCTAGATTTCATGCTGACTCAATCTTTAAATAATGAGAAATATCGTTTAAAAAAGAGATGTATTTAATTTACGATTATCCTACAATTCGTACCTAGAACAATATAGGAAATAGTGAAATTTCACACGCATAATGGAGGGATTAAATAAAAGGATATCGGACACAATTATGAGTAAAGCTCATGAGAAAGTATGAGAAGTAATTGAAAAGATGGGTAGATTTTCAAGTGTAAAATCAATAAAACAAATGTATAATAACGAAAAAATCAAAGAGTATGGATAAAAACATAGATATCATACACTTTTTATGCATACGAAATTCAGGTTTCATCTCGTGGATAGGTTGAACTCAGATTAAACCTATAAGTGAGAAGTTGATTTAATGTTCAAGAAAAGAACTATTAAACACCTTCCTTTCCCCTCTTGTAAAACCACTCCAGAATATATTGTCTTAATCGCCTACAGTGGAGATAATTCTTAAACGCCAATTCTGTGTTAAGCTGTTCGACAGCAGAATCATATACCATATTGCTTCCCAACATATTTGTTTATATTCTAACAATTTTTTTGTTAGCCAATAACATTTTATATAGAATAACTCATACACATTGTGAGTCAGTTTAGTTTAGCCTGAGGTAAATATGTTTAGTTACGGAAATAACTAGTATCTATCTAAGTTTGTTCCTGACATGAGTCAATTATATATTCCTCAATTCGAGCATTGGAAATTTGTTCGTGTTCATAAAACAAAAGCATATAATCCTCAATCTGTTAACATGTGATTATGGTTAGGACAGTTAGAATAGTCTGTATTAGGACTGTTAATGACTGATGCATCGAAATGCTTTTTTCCAAACTGTTTTTGATGAAGAATTCTAAATTTATTTGTTACATCCTCTTTAGAATCAATACTCTGAATAACACATAGTCTATAATGCAGAGGAATTATACGTTGAACGAAGCATGAAATATAAATTAATCTTATGACTATCAGTGAGACTGTATTTATATGTTTCTATCCACGAAATATTTGTTTTTCATATTCATTGTAAGTTCAAGTCATTGCCTTACACTAACTTCATATAAAAGCTTAGAACTCAAATTACATCGAAATGATCAAACAGTACGTATAAGAATTAGAGTAAACATGTATTTACTTGCTACTCAGACAACTAAATACATTGTAAGGGAATTTCAAATACTTATATTTACTCATTAAACAAGATTATGTCAAAAAACAAATACTTTATATTTAAACGAATAAAATAGGGGTACATTCTTCGTGGCAGCAAGTGAGGAATAAACTATGCGCAAGAATTTATGGAAAGAAAAAATGTTTGGAAAAACTTAAATGTGGTGTTGATTTCACATAATCTCGCACAAACTGGGAAAAATTAATTCAAATCAATACACAAGGTGATCATTGAAAATAATTCCATATCTAATTACGCAATAAAACATGTTGTAACTCTTATGAAAACACTCCTAGGTTACAAAATTCAGCAGTTTTACATCAGTTGTTCAGTTTCAAAACGATTGAGATGTTTTGGAAGTTGTAGTAAACAGCTAGTCATTTATTCATATCTAGGCACAATTTAAATCCATTTATGGAACAGATGAATCCTAGCCAGAAGTAGAACTTAGTTCCCCTCATTCAAGACTCATCAGACGGATGCATCTGAATTTTAGTGTCCACGTTCAAATTGGGACCAGATCCAAATACTTTCCACTTCAAACTCCAACGCGCTTTTTACTCAGTTACTGAGTACAGTTAACCACTAACTTGTTCACCTGATATAATATTTAGATCATTATTAATATTGGTTCGAATCACCCTAATTTTGATGTTCAGGACTAAATTTCGACCAGTCTTTGTTAGCATATATGCATCCAGTACTGATTACCTCAATATGGACACTTTATCACAAATTTCATAGAATAGATGGCTTACTGTTAGGAGTGAAGTTTAGGACGAGTGTTTTGTTCTGTCAGATGTAATTGAATCCTAGTGTTGACGTCCAAATAAAATAGTATGAGAAGAAGTAAAATAAAAACGTAATTTTTTCCTTTCTTGTTTTTGTGATAGGTTAATAAATTTATTCTATATTTATCTGTTTGTGTTTTCAACAAAAGCACTGTTGATAAAGTGAGAACATTAAATGCATATATTTAACACAATTAACTTCTCATTAGTGATCAGAAAATTATACTGTAAATAATTTTGAAAGGGATCCTAAAAACAAAGTAAATATTTGTACATCTGAGTTGAAAGTAAATATTGAGGTTCTGAAATATGAATGATGACCAAGATTCCTGATTACTGAAATGCTTTCGTATTAATAGAATGTTAGCAAACGGTAAATTGGAACATTTTTGCAAAAAGGGTCACGTTAAAGAGAAAGGTTTCAGTTGTTTTTTGTTTTGTTTTCTTACATCTACATAGTTTAGAACTGTAACTGGCTAAAGCTTCTGTAATCTTAAATAGACTTTAAATGAAAAGCTCACGGAATCATGCTTCTCTGTATATTTCCCCCAATAAATCGTAGTTGTTATCCATTTACTAAGTAAGTCAGTTTCAGAATAATTGGTTAAAAGGTTACTAAACATATAAGACAAAACAGTACTAAAACCCAGAAAATCGGATTTGAAAACTTCGATTAATTATTTCTGATTACATTATTAAATTTAATATGCATAAAGCTATACAAAACTATATAAACAGTGAAATTAGACTAACAATGAACGCAAATTTAAGAGCGAACCTCCAATCTATAACTCACTAATACAACGTGGATATAATACAAAACACTAACCTCTAGATCCCAGTTATAATTTTGAAGATACATCATTCCAAGTGCTCGGTCAGTGGAGGTGATTTCAGCAAATGAAATACATTTCTCTAGAAAAACATCGTTATCATTTGAGTTTTCTTCTATATCCATTGATACGATATTACTGGACTGTTGATTTTTTGCCATTGCTGACGATCTACATTATAATAATAAAGTATGTAAATAAATAATTTAAAAACCAATTTCCATTTTGTTAGTTTGATAAAAACAAGCTATATTCTTCTGGGGATAAGCAAAGAGCTGGTAAAGAACTGTTTTCTTCTACTTAATGATGTCAGATGAGTACAAAACAACTTATTGGTGTGAAACTATGAAACTAAGTGAAGATTATGGGTATCGATGCAAAGGTTGGATTGGGATATAACAAGAAATATGTATACTATAAGTGATGAATCATGAAATTGAACTTATTAGCGAAAATTATATTCTCGGAATTGAATGATGATCATACAGAGAAACGAGCATCCGTGCACCCATAAGTGACTTTTTGGCCAAATATTTTCAAGCGGCAATCGCTTTTGGACAATAATGGATAACGAAGCCTAAAGTTTCTATTCCGATACTCAGTTAAAAAAAAACGTATGCAAGTAAGATAAGCTCACAATTCATAGTACGTTTCAGTTCACATGGATGTGTAGGTATGGACGATTATTAGTTGGATTGTGAATTTTATTTATTCTATTTTGAACGTTTAACCGATAGTTAGCTAAACCATACGGTTATAGCTGAATATTTTGCATATACATGCTCGTTTTGTTTACTCAACAATATACAATAAGACAGTTGGACAGTGACTAAACCTTCTTGAATCTGTTTTCCTTAGGATCTTCTAGGTGGGAAAATCATCAGTGCAGTCACACCATTAATTCTAATTTTATCGAAGACATAACACCAGGTTTCAAACAGAAAAGCGGAACTTGCTTATGTTACAAATTAATAATAATATACAGTAAATGACCATATTATCAAGCTGGTATGACTAGCATACAAACTAGAAATAACAGTTGTGAACAACAACAATCGTATGATTGATTTAAGTTTCTATGTGTATAGTGAATGTCTTGATACTTGTGCAAATTGAACAAACAAATAACCATATTAATAGTGTAGTCTCACATATTTAAAGGTTTAGTTTAGTTTAATAAGTGACCTTTATTCACGCTTTAATCGATGTGATTTTCAGTATGATATGAGATAACAGAGCAGAAAATCAGTTTATTAATCGTTTGCGAAAAAGGAGTGCCAAATTGTTGTTCAGATGGATAAACGAAGTTATTAGTCGATTCGGTGACTGCTATTACAAATGCAGTTTGTCCTATAATACCTCGCGAAAACAATACTTACTGGACCAAAAGACTAAGGAATATGATTATTGTATAATATTTAACTTATGGACATAAATTCATGAAACTCCTTTTGTCAGTAGTGTATTTTAATTATAAAATATCGTTCCAAACAAAAACATATTAATGGAAATCACTGATTACGGTACATAAGAATTAATAATTATTTAAAGTTTACAATTTATGCCAAGAATTAAATTTTAGCAAAATAGACGAACGATAAATCGCTTTACAAGGAAGGAACAGAAGTGACATTTTTAATTGATAGCCTAAGTATCATAAACCAATGGTCGATCTTGTTTTTCACAAGCTGACGAAGACAAAATGTACTGTAATAGAGACGAAAACAAGTTACATACATACGACGGGTTTTGTTTGCTGGATATGAAGTATATTGTGGAGCAGCATGTATTCACGAATAAACAAGATTGTATGGCTGATGTAAATGAAGAACGAAAATCTTAAGTTGTGATCAGATTTATAAACTAAACACTAAAATTACAGCTTACCCTGTTGTAAGTCACACAAAATAACAGAAAGTAGAAAATCCTTTAATTATGCACTTCAAACACAAATGTAGTAAGAGAATTTCACCGGAAGTAAGAAAATCAAAAATCCCTTATTTAAGGGTTATTTTATTGGAAATTAAATTTTTGACGCAATAACTCAGAAAAACACTGTTCCGTACAGTGCTGCAACACAAAGGTATTCACTTAACTTCATCAACTTAGCATCAATAACAGTTTGCCTAAGCATGTTTAATTAACCTAATTATTAGTCAGTTCAGTTGTTGGACCTATTCTCTTCAATTAAGCTAACCGTGGACTAGGACAGAGCAATCATGTGTGATGAAAATTGATTAATTACGTTCTTCTAAGATAAACAGTAGTCAAGGGAAATGTGAAATGATAGCAGAGAAACTGAACAGAGCTTAGTAATTGAGTCGCGTAAATTTAACGATAATGCATGAGTGTTAGCCTGATAGTCAATGTTTTTTATGTATCACAGCTAACGTTTTTATGCAGCCCCAGCAATAAAGATCAAGTAAATTAATCTTGTTTTCCAATACAATATTCCCTGAAGATAATGCCTAGACTTATGTAAACTGGTTATCATATGAAAAATCTAGAACACCAAAACGTTAAACTGAAAATTTTTTTATTCACATTATCGTCAAATCATAGAATGCTTTCATTTAGTGATTGTTCGACTGTTTGTAATTACAAAAACAGGAAACACAAGAACAAACATTCGTGTGTATCAAGTATTTACAATCCCAATCTTTTACAGAAGGTTCAATGGCACCAATGCTTACAGAATATAAGAAGAGTTTGAGTCAGATATACAAAACAATCCGTTCTACGTGCACATATTTCAACTGATAATTACTAGCAAAGAAAATGAATTCATCCAGGAGTATATGTAGCTATTTACTAAATTCCTTAACAAATAAACTGTGCAGTAATTTATTACAATCGATCAAAAGCAATATAATAAGTAATATATTTTATAATTAATTCGATGGAATAAACTTTAAATTCCGGACATTAGTTGGAGTATGATTACAGGTTCATTTTCCAAACTACACAAATGTACAAGTCAGTGTTTAATAAGAAATATGACATATCAGAGTAGCCACTAAGGCATACCTAAATTTTCTGAAGATCGATTACTTACAATATCTTTAAAAGAATTGACCATTTCCCTAACAGATTTGACATAACATTTAATTGGTATGCCATCTATTCAAAAACTATCTCGGTATTACATGATAAATATACCGGAATTATCATGAATATTAATCTATATGATATGGAAACGAAAAGTGGTTCTCATTGTAAAACTACGATATCATCCTATCCCAGAGGAGGCCGATGGACTGGAATGCGGACTTGGGAAGTAAGGAGACAGCTGAGAAGCCCTGAAATAAAAACCTATTCAAAAGACTCGGAAAAAATGTAAAAGCAAATTGAGAGGAATGACAGTTCGTTCGAGCAGCTTTTGTCCCTTCAACACCATAGTGAAGACATCTAATTATTGCCTTTCGTTGTGCCGATGAATCCAACGATAGTAGTTTTGAGAATCTATAGCATGGTTGATCATAACAAATCTAGAGCTTATTACAAAACAGTTCTGTTCCGAAATGCTCTGTTCACCATAGAATGAACACCTAAGAAATAATTCAGTTTCTATGTATCTCATATAATATTACTTTATTTTTATAATGTGAAGTTGTACGGCAAAAAGTGATATAATTTTATTTCCTTGGATTTCAATCACGTTCTAAAATTGGTTACTTGACATGGTTGGAATGGTTTCGTGGATAAATTTTATAAATTATAAATACTGGGTTGGGGTACAACTATCTACGATGTAACAGATAAAACAAAGGTAAAGTATTTATTGTTCCTCGACAAATGTTTAGAACGAAAATGGGCTCAGTTTCTAGAAAACAGATGAATGCAGTTGCAATACTATGGATGACTTCACGTCACATAAAAAATTGGCTACATTCATCACGTGTATTTGCAGGCTGTATTGCTGGAAATGAATAATTTTGTTGCGTGAATATTCTAAAAATAAAACCGAAGTGTTTTCATTAGTTTGAGAATTCTTATCTACACTTTCAAATAATTAAAACTTAACATACGTGTAAACAGGCAGTATTTTGAAGTCTCACAAGTAGTAATTATTTAGTGAGTTTGTACTTCAAGGACTACAGTGGAAACAATACCATTGAATTATGCCCGATATACAAAAATAAAAATAGATCACAGTCACACATCTACAGACACATGCATGCCAAGCACAGATTTGGTGGGACAAAGTTCAACTGGTAAATCGCTTCCATAGGAGGTACAAAGAAATTACTAAGTGCATCGTATCACATGATAAATAATCAAAGTTCAAAGCAACGGTAGATAAAAATCAAACGACTTATGTATAGTTTATTATTATTGATAAAAAACAGTTCACCAGTAAACACAAAACTGTTATAAGGCAGGAATTTTGCATAAAAACACGAATATATATAAATATATATATAATTTACACACATACATAAGACAAGAATGTGTTTGGACGGATGTACGATTGATGAGACCGTAAAAAAGTGAATTTCGAAAATCATAACGCTCAAATAATTACAAACGCCAAATAAAAATCTCGCTGAGAAAACGATATATAATACGTGAACATAAAAGGAGGGTGAACACCAGTCATAAAAGGTAACTTATGTAGAAATAAACAGAATGTAAGTAAATACAAGAGAAGATATCGAATAAAAATGAACAAATTTTAGTAGTTTTCGACAAGAATAGAAACTACGTGTTTATTTTCTTGTGGTAATGTTTTTAAAGGACACATAAATAAAGTCACACAATGCGTTGTATTGATTTAATCAACTATGAACAAAGTCCTGTTTGTAATTCCTGAAATTTTACTCAATTGTATTTAGCAATATGAGAAATTAATAAGAATAAAACGAAAAAATGTTTACTTATACGGTAGAATTGAAATTGTGTTGCAAAATATTACATTGATATCATGTTTTTAAAAATGTTAGCAATACAAGCCAACAAGGAGAGTGTAATTTAGTACAGGTATTGAAAAACTTTGCAGAAAAACATATTTTATTACAAATTTACATAATGGACTTCAAATTATAATTTTGGAATACTAAAATATAAATATATAAATCTGTATTTTAGCAGAGAGAGAACATTTCTACAGACTTATTTGAATAGATATTTAAAACGAAATAAGACGAAGAAGACACAAGAAACGATCGTTCACAATCTTTTATTTTGCATGGAACCAGAAATTGCATCAATGAAAAAAAATAGCAAAATACGGGAAAACGATGTTCGTGTTGAATAATTTACATACCACGTTCAGAATAACGCCCACGAAAGTTAATACTTTGATCATCTCTGAGCGGACTGTTGCTTAGGTGGACATTATCTTTCAATTTTTCAGAATAATTATTAGTTTCAATTGGTGGGATTTCTGTAACATCAATGCACTCAAAATGACTGGGCAATATTTCAGTTTTTTTATTTGAGATAGTTGTAATGTTTGGACAGCTTGTAGCATTCAAAGAATTAACTACAGGGACAGAATGTGTTGATTTTAAATCATTAAGATCACTTTCTGATGTAGAAGTTGAGTCGATTAATGAACGACGATGACGACCAAAAACTTTGTTGATTTCTGCATCAAAATGAGCATAACAATTAGCTACATCCGGCAGGTGATATAAAAGGCCCTCATATAAATACTCTATTTTTTTAAAAGGAAATGTAGGACAAGATACACTATGAAATGGTTTATACATGAAAGTTGATAAGAAAAATAAATATCAAGGAATATTCAAATAAACAACAACATTCCCTAAGTTGCATACGAATATGTAGATTGGAAACGTCATTGAAAAACGAACATAATTAAACCAGTCGCATTCTATAGTCAGGTGGTAATTTCAAATGAAAAAGGAAACACATCGTTTTACTGTCTTTTCGTAAGTGAAATACAATGATCTCGCAGCTTTGAGAAATACATGACTGATCGGTCCGATATATCTTATAGAATAACGTAAACAATAAATTATACAAAAGTATCTCAGAAATAGTCGGATGTTAGGTCTACAAGGTATTTCTACATAGATATATAATGTATTTAGAATTAGCAAAACTGTCGAATATAATTCTAATACGGGATTGAAAGAGACTGTACATTATTTGATTGAACTAAGGATAACATAGACGAATAACGTACGTTTCTCGCCGTCTTCATGATGAAATACTTAACAACATTATTCTCAAAGTACGAACTGTATCAACACGTAATCATGTAAAAAAACGACCATCGAGATAAATAGATATTCATTTAATAATCACTAAAATATGTTTAGAGATGACTATACAGATTTAACCAGAAGTAGGAGTAAAGAGGATACTTCAATAAGAGTCGAAATTCATATGACCTTGTTAAATCTTAAGATTAGGAAAAAATTTGTCAACTGACGTAAGTTTACTAAAGTTAATAGTGGTTCACTTCAGATCCTGACGGTACTCATTACCATACCTTGAATTAACTTTTTTTGCATTTACAAGAGATCAGAAACTTATGAAGCAGACGATAAATAAAATAGTGCAGGATATACATTTCGAAGTGATCTACGAAAATTACATGATAGAACGAATTGGTTTAGAAGTATACGCTTTAGTGATCTCCAGACAATGAGTCCCCACTTATTCAATTTCGATTCAAATCTAAATCAATTAAATAGATTTCGTAATTTCAACATTATTCACAGTCACTAGTTGATAATTGTAAATCATAAGATAAGAACTAGCAATTAGATACGAAGCAACTATTAATTTATTTAAAAAATTCAACAATAATGATTAGCGAACGATTTATAAAGTCCACATGAAAAAAGCTGCAGGTACAAGAATCTAGTTTTATATTATAGAAGTAGTTTGGAAATTTAATATTGGCTGACACATAAGTGCATCGAATTAATACAGAGCAATTAGAAATGCATAATGACAATTTCTTACCCCCACTAATTCCACTGGATGAATTATCTGAATGAGTAGATTTACGTATCAGGTAAGCACGATCAAGTATAAGATTAACTGTTTCGTCATTTTCTAAAGTGAACGCAAAACCTAATAACTCCGCTGCATCAGAACGACTAATTTCCCAATCTTTCGCCATATTTACATCAGATTGTGAAGAACACAGATTATATGCCTGGAACATTATAAGATAACGATGATAGATAGGTTTCCTGATTTTAGAAAATTTTATGATAAGAAGTTTAGTGAATTTCATGAAAGATTGGAAACGTTTTATTTAGTTGGGGATAATATATATATATATATATATATATATATATATATATATGGATAATTAGGGAAAAATTAACTTCAAAGTATAATGAATACTCTTATACTAAACATGTAAATAATAATAGCAAATTACTTAGGCACTATTCATTATTCGTATGTGCTATAGTTGATTGAATTTAGTTATCGCATCACGTATGTCGTCGTTAATTAATTCAATAAATAACATTGAATAAATTAAAAGCGTGCAGTTGACAACCTGAACATTTTTAAATGTTCCTTCTATTCTGGTGTTTATGAAGACGGTAAGTATTCATCTAACTTATATATAATATTACTAAATGAACACTTAAACATTGATACAAGTAAGCACAAAATACATATGCGCTACATAAATAACAATGACATTGTGAAGAGATAGAGAATGCAAAGTGTGTATAATAAAAAACTACAACGAAAAGAAATTAGAGTATGAGAGAGAAATAATATTTAAATAATTGATAGTGGGAGAAACAGTTCAGTTAGCAAAAATATAACCAGAAAGAATTCTTTCAGTTAAAGAGGTAACGCTTAGTTTATGAAGTAAAGAAAATTACAACACGATCGTCGCTGGCTTCTATTCTGAGCCATATCTGATAACGTCTCTAGCCACTGTGTCGCGCCATCTCCAGGACCCCAAAATGGGAGTCGTGAAACACCAACAGAAGACAGACCTGTACAACAATTTCATACCACAAACACCATGTCATACACTGACCACCTCTCTGCTTTTTCCAACCAGTCCCAGCGTCAGCAAATAATGCACGACGTGGAATTCTCTGAGACGACATACATAAAATACATGTCTAAGCCACCGAAGTCGATGTTTCAAGATAAGGACGCCAATTGCATGATCGTCTTTGCACCGGAACACACGATGCCGAACCTCTGTATTACTAACATGTTGTTGCCACTGGATGTCAGCAATCCTTCGGAGACAACGAAGACCAAACACGGAGTCGTCTAACATCCTCAACTCGGAGAGGCCAGGTTTCACAAGCATAGAGCAGAACTGCTCTCACCGACGCGTTGTAGATCCGACCTTTTACAGCCAGACTAACATCACGAAGGTGCCAAAGATGGCCCAGATTGGCATAAGTCGCTCTGGCTTTCACTATACGTGCATTGGTCTCATTACTCACGCCACCACCAGCACTTATGCAGCTACCTAGGTACACGAACTTTTCGACTACTTCTATCTGCTCACCATCCAGGGTGAGTACAGGGTCTGGGTCCTGCAAGTCTAGAAGGTGAAAAGCACATACCGTACCTACGGACACTGATTGCCAACCAATTAAGTGCGGATTGCATGGTTTGGGCATCATCACACAGTAAGACAATATCATCCGTATACTCAAGGTCGAAGTCTTTCTCCAGGCAACAGATCCAAACCGCTATTACTTACATCCATCAGAGCTGTTTCCAGAGTGTCATCGATGGCAAAGTTGAAGAGGAATGGTGAGATTGAGCAACCCTGGATCAGAACGAAAACCAGCCTGCTCCTCGCGAGTCAATCTTTCTCGATTTTTCAACAACCTACGAAGTATGACAGAAGCCAATAGTTTGAAGGTAAGTCATCTGGGTGGGGTGATTTGTAGCGCTTCAATAATTGGAGTGTCTTGCGGAGTTCCCCCTCATTTGGTGGATCAGTCGTCACCGACCATGGAGGGCAGGATAGTCTGATCGATGTTGCCGGAGCAGCAGGCCAGTTGAACTGCCTTAATAGTCCAACTCGCAGTCATGCGGAGTTGACCGACGAACTTCACTGAGTAGTAAGTAGCCTGAAGAAAACCAGTGCTAATAAGCGAGATCTTTAGCGAAGTCACTTTACTTGTGGCGACATACAATTGCAGTAAATGTCCATATACACTTTTCGGTGTGATGGTTTGTAGCCTAGAACCTAGTTCGATTTGATATTTAGTTGAAACAGAAGCTGCAAACAATTTACTGGCATCAATCCGTTTAGGACGATGAATTTGTTGGCCACTGAAGCGCAAGGTAAGATTAGCACAAACAAGAGCTTGATCAGAGTCCAGATAGATACTCCAAAACGGGCGGCAGTCTTGAACAAAACTACACCAGCTGCAGTTGATCGCGATGTGGTGAATGTGAACTTAGGCTTGAAATGCAGAAAAAAGATGCCAGACAACACATCGGCGACGACTATGTTGGTACTTAGTGCTAACCAGAAACAGGATGTAGACTGCGCTGTTGTAGTAGAAAGTCACCGTCATCCGACCTGCGACCAATAAGTTTCCATCAGTCACCTACACAACTCTTTTGCACGTAGATGCCCAACCTGAGTATT